AAACCTAAAGAAGGGCAATGCCAAAGAATGTTTAAATTACCAAAAAATTGTGTTCATTTCACAGGCTGGCAAATTTATGCTTAAGATTCCGCAAGCAAAGCTTCAGCAATATGTGAACTGAGAATTACCAGAGGCAGAGGAACCAGAGACCAAATATGGAAAAAGCAAGGGAGTTCCAGAAAAATATCTACTTCCACTTCATTGACTACACTAAAGCCTTTTGACTGTGTAGCTCACAAGAAAACCAAACATGAAAAAATGGATTGGTTTGAGATTGGAAAAGGAGTACAACAGGGCTGTATATTGTCACCTTATTTAACTTACATCAGAGCTTATCATGTGAAATGCCAGGCTGAAAGAACCAAAAGCCACAATTAAGATTGTTGGGAGGAGTATCAACAATCTCATTCAGACAACATCTGTCTGATGGCACAAAGTGAAGAGGGATTAAGAAGGCTCTTGATGAAGGTCAAAGAGGCGAGTGTGAAAGCTGGCTGGAAGCTAATATAAAAAGACCCAACCTAGATCTTGGCAACTGGTCCCATCACTTCCTGCTGAAAAGGAGGAGAAGAAATGGAAGCAGCATTAGATTTCATATTCTTGGACTCAGAGGTCACTGCAGATGGTGACTGCAGCCATGAAACTAGAAGATGCTTACTCCTTAGAAGGAAAGTTCTGGCAAATACGGGCAGCGTATTGAAAACAGAGACATCACCATGCCAACAAAGGTCCATATAGTCAAAGCAACGGTTTTTCCAGTAGCAATGCATGGATTTGAGAGTTGGACTATAAGGAAAGCTGAGCTTTGCAGAATCAATGCTTTCAAATTGTGGTGCTGAAGAAGACTTTTGAGAGTCCCCTGAACAGAGATCAAATCAGTCAATAAAGAAATTAATTCAAGCTACTAACTGGAAAGTCAAATACTGAAGTTGAAGCTTAAATACTTTGTCCACATAATGAGAATCTCTGGAGGAGACTCTGATGCTAGGAAAGACTGAAGGCAAAGGGAAAAGGGGACAGAAGAGGATGAGACGGATAGACAGTGCCATGGAAGCAATGAACACGAGCTGGGACAGACTTCAGGAGATAGTGGAGGTCAGAAGGACCTGGCATGCTACAGTCCGTAGGTCAAGAAAAGTTAGACATGACTGAATGACCAAACAACAACAACCACCATGAAATGTCTTAACAAGAGCCAGCTCGATGGCACAGTAGACAGAATGCTGGACTGGAGGTCAGAAGACTCAAGTTTTTTGAATCCTGCTTCAGAACACTTATTAGCTGCATGACCCAGGACAAGTTCCTTCCCTTCTCTGCACTTGAATTTACTCATCTGTAAAGCGAGGGGGCTAAACTAGCTGGCCTGAGGCCCCTTCCAGTACTAAACAGAGCCATATCTACACATATGTCACTCTAAATCTTCATCATGACTCTTTATCCATTCATTCTTCCTTTTATATTGCAGTCACTAGTATATGTTCTGTTCTACTAATTTAGAAAAATGAAATCATACCCATTCACTATTATTGGCAACTTCTTTTTGCCCGGAAGAAAAAGAATTACATTGAACAAAACCATGATAAACTAATGGCAAATCCAAACTCCCTATATTTACTGAACTTTCTTTCAAAAAAATTAGCTTTTGCAATATATAAATATGACATAAAACAAGAAATCCAGTTCTTTCCAGTTTATGCTAAGTGATTTTCAGACATTATTGGACATGGAGAATACTATGGAATTTTTATAGAAGCAAAGAATTAGGACAGAAATCTATTTTAATTTCTGTAAAACTGTATAGATCAACAACGTAGTGATTCACTATGAAGGAATTCTTTCGCCAAGTTACAGGCACAGAATCACCTCCTGAGAGCAGTCAGATCTTGAGCACCTCTCTCTAAGTGTCTGACACACTCAATGAGAAATGCCTAGGGAGTCATAAATCACATTCCCAGTGGGAGATGGGCTGACGAGGGCTCCATTCTGAAAAGGGGAAGTCTAAGATACACAGGGAAAGTGGGTTGTTAATAATAACTCACGCTTTAGAATTTGCAAAGTGCTTTCCACACCTTTTCTCATCTGAGTCTCACAACAACCCTGTGGGGCAGAGACTATGGGTCTTATGCTCATCTAAGAGGTAAAGAAACCAAGGTTCATTATAGACTACATATAGGATAAGCACCTAACGTTCAGAATACAATTTGGCTGGTTGTCTGACTAGTCTCCTGTTTAATTCACTGGACTGTAAACTTGAGATAATATCTTTAATACGAAAAATGGCTTAAAATGAAATGTGATTTCAAACTGCTTCCACACGAGATGTTTCAAAAAGAGCTGGTGAATACACTTGGCTCTGGAACTCTGAAACCATGTAAGTGAACAGCATTGATGTGAATAAGTCCCTTCTCCCACAGTTCTACCCAATCAGACTGAAGAACACAAGACTGAACAACCCAGAGGGCCAGAGATGTCAATATCACTTTTCTGTCAACTAATCCAGGTTTCTAAACTAAACTGGATCCCAACCAAACCACTAAACCTACCCAGTCTTAGGTCTGGATCCTCACCAACTCATCCAGTGCTTCGCACAGTGCCTGCTACATTGTTGGTGCTTTATCAATGTTTACTAACTGACCTCAGAAATGAGCTCTAACAAAAGATCTGGACTCCAAAAATCTAAGTGTTAGCTTCCCAACTTCTCTCCTATGTTAAGACAAGATAATCTCAGCTAAAGCAAAAATAAAGGAGGGGGTCTCAAAAGTCTCAGTGCAGGTTTAAGCTTAGATAGCTTAAATACATTGGCGATACCCTGCAGAGATGCTTTCTTTGGAACCAGGACATCTTCTTGGAAGCTTAACCAAATGCCACTAACTCTGTTCATGGTACAGTGAGAAGAGTGATGGATTTGTAGCCAGAGGGCCCGGGTCTGAATGCGCCTCTCCAGGCCTTGGTTTCCTCACCTGTATGTACCATGATGGATTGAGACCAGATGATCTTTAGCTACTTGTTTTTGCCATCGTCAGCCTTACAAATAGCTACTCGTCCTGAACAAGTAGATTTTTTCCAATGAGGAGTAACTGATTGATTGATTTGCTTAGGCAATCGGGGTGAAGTGACTTGCCCAGGGTCACACAGCTACTAAGTGCCAAGTGTCTGAGGCTGGATTTGAACCCAGGTCCTCCTGACTCCAAAGCCAGAGCTCTATCCACTGCACCACCTAGCTGCCTCTGATTTCATTTATTTCACCAGTTGCGTGCTTACTAAAAAGAAGAGTAGCTGAGAAAATGTTTTAGTGGTGAGGACATTTTTACTACTGACGCAAATAAGAATCAGCGTCAGAGCTGAAATAGCCTTAGACACTACCAGCTTAAAGACTAGAGCCTTGTCCGGTGCTCTCCCTTCCCAAATGAGGAAACTGACTTGCCCAAGGTCAGAGTCTGAATGTCAGAATCAGGATACAGAAGCAACAGGCTTCAGCCTGTGGCTTATAGGGTCATGTGTATACTGCCCAGAAAACACGGGCTACAGAACTGAGATGACTGCAGAGACGCAAGGCTATGCAAGGCATAAAAAAATGAGAAGTCACAGTCCTTTGTTCCCCCTTGTGCCTTTCGCCAGTACTGACCAGTACAAAAGGATACCTCATGTACCAAGACTGACAGAGGATCGTGGAGGCAGATCTGGAAGGATCCTACAAAGAGCTGGGGACAGAGGGAACAACACTGGTTCCAAAGTCTGCAGACCTGGATTCAGATTCCTCTTTTGATGCCTACTATCTGGGTGACCTTGAGCAAGTTGACTCATCTCCCTGGGCCTCAGTTTCCTCATCTGAAAAATGAGAGGGTTAGACTAGAAGGTGGCCTCTGAGGTCCCTTCTGGCTCCAGATTTGTCCAGACCCTATGAGAGATTAGGAAACTGAGGCCCAAAGAAGTGACTTGTCCAAGGTCAAAAAGGTGGTAAAGCAAATGGAGGAGACAATCAGATTCAAATAAAGATCCTCTGACTCCCAATCTAGTCCTTTTTAGAAATGTTTATTAATAGCCTTTAAAGGGGGAAAAAACCCCCACTGATCTTAAAGTCATAAGATCAGGGTTCAATTTCCCTGTTCCAACATTTACTTCTTATGTGACCTGGGGTAAGTAATTTTTGAGCATCAATTTTCTCATTTGTAAAATGGGGATAATCTCATTTGTACTTCCTCCCTCACCCCTGCTCTGGCACTTACTATTAGTGTCATCCTGTGCAAATCACTTTGTGTCCTCCTCTTTCAAAATGAGAGTATTAGACTAGAGGGTCCTGGGTTTTGTGTCCTCTTTCAAAATTAGAGTATTAAACTAGAGAGTCTCTAAAACCCCTTCAGCTCTGACAGCTCCATATTCTCAGGCCCTTCTCAGCTCCGGAAGCCAAGGTTCTAAGACCCCTTCCAGGTCTGATGTTCACGATGCTTTCAGGTCCCTCCCCAGGTGTGACATTCATGGCTTTCAAGTCCCTCCCCATATGTGATATTCAATACTCTCAGGTACCCCTCCAGATGAGACACTAATGGCTTTCACGCCACTCCACGGGAGGCATTCAATGCCCCAGGTGTGACATTCAAGGCTCTCGGGTTCCTCCCCACATGTGACATTCAATACTCTCAGGTCCCTCCCCAGGTGAGACATTCAAGGCCCTCAGGTCGCTCCCCAGGTGTGACATTCAAAGCTGTCAGGTCCCTCCCCAGGTGAGACATTCAAGGCCCTCAGGTCGCTCCCCAGGTGTGACATTCAGGGCTCTCAGGCCCCTCCCCAAGGCCCTCCTCGGGCGGCCGGGCCGGGGGCGCTTCACTACGGGCAGCCTTACGCTCAGTCTCGGGGCAGGGCCGGCGTGGGGTGGCGGGGCCCCGCACGCGGCCTCCCGGTCCACGCCGCTCCCAGGCGCCCGGCGGCGGCGGCGAGGCTCTCGGCCAGAGCGGCGCCCCCTGCTTGCCCCCCTGGAGGGCTCGGCGGCCCGCGGGCCTCACCTCCCGACGCACGTTCAGCAGCGAGTAATAGTCTTCGTTGTCCAGCTCCTCCTCTATCAAGGCCGTCGCCATCTTCCCGACCTTTCACCCCGGCGGACGGAAAGGTCCGCTCACCAGGGGGAGGCGTGACACCTCCTCTTCCTCCCGCCCCGGAACCTGAGGGGCCGGGGCCACAGGGAGGGACAGCTCTCGACTAGCCACAGCGGCCCCTGGCGGCTCGGAGTCGCGGCGCAGGCGCAAGCCCGAGGACCTCTCGGCCTCTCCCCCCAAACCCCGCCCCACTTGCCGAACCAAACCCAGCGGCGCGCATGCGTCATCGCCCTCGCCTCCGGAAGCGGCAAGGGAGGAGGAGCCGCGGGGATGAGGGCGGGCTGATGACCTGCGACCCACGAACTGACTGACTAACTGACCCGACCGCCGTGGGGTCCTGGCAGCCCTCCCCGTCTTTGCTTTCTTAACCCATCAGCAGTTACCCCCACCCCACCCCGGAACTTCATAAACAAAACCCCCAGACCCAGGATTGGACGTGCCTTCTACCAGCCCCGGGGACCGAGATGCCCCGGGCTGCATCCGATGTCCCCTCCCCTTTTACAATGGAAGAGACCGAGGCCCAGATCTAGAGAAGGAAGGGGCAGCAGAAGTCATCTATCCCTCTCTGCTTCCCCTACACCCCCCCCCATTTTAGAGGGGAAAGTGAGGTTCGGGGAAATCATACAGCCCTAGCTCTAGAGCTGGAAGGAGCTTCCAAGGTCAGCCCACTCCTTTCATTTCACAGAGGAGGAAGTTGAGGCCCAGAGAGGAGAAAAGGACTGGCCCAAGGTCACACAGGGAACAGGGGACAGAGTCAGGATTGGAACCCAGTCCTCTGACTTTTAACTCCCCGGGACCCTTCTGGAGAATGGACCCTTACAAATCCTCTCCAGGGCAGAGCTGCCTGATTCATTCACCAGCCGAAGGAGAAAAATGAACCCCTTCTGTCCCCTGCCTCTGAAGCAGGGACATATTCCAAACAGGCAGAGCCGCCCCCACCTTTTGTGGAACTCATCCAAAGCCCCAAATTATCCACACCCCCAATGAGAGGCTTCTGTGGTCCCCACCTGCTGACGTTCCTGGGCTGCTGCTTTCATCTGTCTGCTCTACTGTAAACCTCCAGAGACACTCCAGTCTTTGGCCCCAGCCTGTCCGCAGGCTTCTCCTTTCCCCTATGTCTCTTGGCCCCTTCATCTAGGCTTGGGCATGGATGGGCAGGAAAGACCTTCTCGCCTTGGTTTTTCATTGCTGCCATATATTTTAGGAACACTTTGTCATTATCTTGCTGCCTGCATGCTGAGGTAGTGCCCATTTGGTTCCCCAGCATAATTGTCCCTGGCAGCCTTTCCCTACCTACAGCCCAAAGAGTCATTTTCATGTAAATTTCTACCTCATAATTTGGCTGTGGAGCCTAATTAATTTAAACCTGGTGCCTGTCATTTTGGTGAGTTATTAAAAATGTCTTGGTTACAATAATCTGAATTATTTAAGTGTCTTAGAAATTATACAATTATCAAGAGAAAGGTGGGCAAGGTCCTGCTGGCCTGCTGTTGACATTTTGTAAGAATGTTGTTCCTGACTAACTGTCACTTCCCAACCATCCCGGTTGCCCTTCATAAGTAGGCCTCTTGGGAAACTTCAAACCACCTGCCTACAGATTTGAGAAGTTGATTTCTTTCACTTCCTAATTTATGGGCCTATGTGACATCCCTTCTAGTAATCCAGTCCTCTTAGGATCCTTTAGCATGAGATGTTTGAGTACATTTGGGACAGGGTGTCTAGAAGTATTAAGTCAATTCTGAACAGACCACCATTCTAATCTAATGAATTAAGTGCTAGTTTCTTTAGATAGGAGAGCACCCCTCCCCCAACATTCCCTATTATCTGTCATCAGCCATCCAGTAACTTATGGGAATTTTCTCTTTTCTCCTCCTCAAAAATGATATTAGATTGAAAGGGCTGAACGACATGATGGAATTTTCTACTTTTTTGTGCATCTTTTTCAGAGTGAAAAAAATTTTATACAAATAAATCCACAGTGTTGAAAAGTATTCCTTTTTTCCTTGGATTTAAGAATATTAATTAGCCTAAAGCATGTGTTCAGACAGAGGCAGTTTAGATGGCTCAGTGGAGAGACCACTGGGCCTGGAATCAGTAAGACTTGAATTCAAATCTAACCTCAGACCTTTACTAGCCGTGTGACCCTAGGTAAGAGACTTAACCTCTCTTTGCCTCAATCCACTTGGAGAAGGAAATGGCAAAGCCCTCCACTGTCTTTGCCAAGGGAACCCCATTGGCATGCTATGGTCACGTGGTCATGAAGAGTCAGCCAGAACTCAAGAACCTGCTCATATAAGGAAATGCTTTGCAATCTCTTTCTCTATTTTAGACCAAGCTGACTCTGGGAATTGCTGAATGGAGTCAGAAAGATTTGGATTCTAGTCTCAGCTATATTTTGTGACCTTGATCAAATTACAACCTCGGTTTATGCATCAGTAAAGTCGAAGTAGTACCATTTGGGATGTTGGGTGAATCAAATGAAATAATGTGTGTGAAAATACTTTCTAAACTAAAGTGCTGTACAAAGGTAAGGTATTACTGCCTAAATAAAACAACCTATTTAAGTAAGCCTAGGATTAAATTTCTGTGATTGAGAATGATCTGTTTTTTATTGTCACTGGAATAAAGTGAATAGTAGCTTAAGGGTTTTCTATGCATTTGTCCTCTCTTGGGCCCACGATGTTTTGTATTATGACTATTTGGAATATGGTTGTGGCAAGTGGAAAACATGACAGACACATCACAGAACTGAAAATATGCTTCTTATGCACTTTGTTCTTCGGTTCTGTTTTCCTAAGAACTTTGTTCTATATTGGGAGAAATAATGAAAAGAAAAGAGAAATACGATACATAAGTTAAACAGAAACACACACACTCCAACAAACCTCTCACGGCAAAGCTGTTGACAGGACTCAGCTGTATATTTTAACCTCCTGCCCTGAGGATTTGCTGTCTTCCAATTGGGTGAAGTCACAAAAGTCATTTGTACCCTAGTAGTAAAGCTAAATCTAAAAAAAAAAATCTATTATGCAATTTGCTTATCTTCAAACGGTATATATAACAAAATTTATCTCCACTGTTCATATTCAGAATGACCCCCCCCCCCAACATTAGGTCTCCCAGGACAGCCACTGTGTTCAGTGGCTCAGGAAGCTGCCAGCAGTTAATGACGGCTCAGCCCAGCTCTAGTGCCCTCAGTGACTGCACTGGAGGTCATTCATTTCATCCTGTTCTTCTGAGTAATAGCAGCAATACTGAGAGAAGAGGTGAGCAGCCTGTGCAGACCCCTTCTATGTCAGTACTGAATCCATGCACTTCCTCTATAATTCAGGAGCAGAAATTACCTATAACCTTTTTATTATTCTCTTGTCACTGAGTCCAGAATGGGATTTAGTACTCACTTGCCATTCACTGCATAGTCTCCTTCCATCCCTTCATGAGCTATGATAACCCTTTAAAGAAAGGTTCAGGGGAGAAAGAAATCCTTAGCTATAGGTACCCTGGTGTTAAATTCTGTCTTAAGTCATCTGAACCTTTAGCATTTCTGGGTTGTTCTTGGTCTTTTTCTTCATATCTTTAGCAAGTTTAACCCAGATGACAACAGCATTATCTAAGGCTGATTCAGACTGAAAATAAGCCAGAGGATATATGTGGTTTATAAACAGCCATGCATTTCTCAGACCAAAGTGTTTTTTTTTAATGTTTTATTGATGCTTTTGTCTACATTGCTGTCATTTCCTAATACCACCCTCTGCCTCCACAGAATGAACCCTCTCTTGTAACAAAGAAATAGAGTCAGGCAAAACAGACTGAGACACAGACCATGTCTGACAGCAGTTCCTTCATTCCACTCCATCGTCCACCACCTCTCCACCAGGAGGGGAGGGATCTGATTCACCATCAGTTGTCTAAAGTCAAAATGGGTCATTGGAGCATTTGAGACCTAATGCCTTCTACTATTATTTTCTTTTATATGATTGTGATCATCGAACACATTGTTCTCTTGATTCTGAGCACCTCTTTTTTGCATTGTTTCTTTGTACTGTTCATTCATATTGTTTAAGTGAGTCAGCCCAAAAGCAATCATGAAGTCTTTTCTATGGATCAGGTACTGGGTAAAGCTATGGAGATACAAGCACAGGCAGAAAAAGAAAGAGTCCCTGCCCTCAAAGAGCTTACATTCTAATTGGGGAAACCAACACATAAAAGAAGAGCTGAAAAGGGGTGGTAAGGGGTACTTACTAGGGGGCATAATGGCTAAATCTGGTTGGTCTGGGCCCTTCCCCAAAACGGAAGCTCTGGGGAAAATGGGCTCACAGTGATAGGATGAAGGGAAAATGTAGTTAGTTTTTTCGCAACATGACTACTAGGGAAGCTTTTTGCATGACTACACATGTATAACCTGTATCGAGTTGCTTGCCTTCTCAATGAGGGTGGGTGGGGAGGGAGGAAGGGAGAGAATTTGGAAACCAAAGTTTTACATGCAACTGGGAAATAAGATATACAGGCAATGGGGTATAGAAATCTATCCTGCTCTACAGGAAAATAGAAGGGGAAGGGGATAAGAGAATGGGGGGGTGATAGAAGGGAGGGCAGATTAGGGGAAGGGGTATTCAGAATGCATGGAGGGAGTGGTGAGATGGGGAGAAAATCTGGAACTCAAAATCTTGTGGAAGTGAATGTTGAAAACTAAAAATAAATATCTTAATAATAACAATAATAATAATACTAATAGAAATGGGCCCACAGAAAGGAGGCAGCTGTGGCGTGGTGGCCCAACAATCCATCACATTCACTGGAATTCTTTTTTTGGAATTCTCCCATGAATGTTTCCTGTTTCTCTCAAGTACACATGCACACACACACACACCCCCTGCTAAAAATCCTTTGAACTATATGGGACTTTGCCCTCTGTCCTTGATTTCCTTGGGGAAGATCTTTAGATTTTTATATGATTTCTTCAGAAGTTCTCA